TGTACTGTCTTCGTGTATACTTTGAGGTATTCTCGTAATAACCTCATAGTGTATCACTTTTATATGCTTTTGCTGATAGTTGGGGATGGCATTAGACTGAATCTATGGTTTTATGTATATTTATTTTATTCGCGAAAAGGTATGGAAGATGTTGGAAATTGATAATGGTAAACTTAATATTATCTTTTGTGCAGTCTGGTTGAAAATTACAGCACAGTTGAGTTACAGAACAGTTCAGCCTATGGCGTTGAAGAAGCAAAATCCGTAATTTTATTAAATATAACATAGTAAAATAATCGCTAGTCGATGAAAAGTTAAATCATCAGTATAATCTGGATGTGAAAATATCTGAATTGTTTGTAGAAATTTATCTTTATACACAAACAAATATAATTTATTTACCAACAAAAAAAACATTATACAAAATATCATGTGTTTTGCAGAAAATGAACCAGATCGAAGGTTGCATCATGTGGAACACCTACAAATAATTTCCCTTGTTGGTAATATATACATGAAATTTGAACAACAAATGATTTACAGTCGATGACATCCAGGGTATTGACAAGAGTTGCACCGAGTACAATTTAAATCCACTGTTACAGGATTCTAAAAATGTTTCTGATAGTGATGCCTAATTCTCCTGTTAAGGCATAGGTGAGTGTATGTGTGCACTTTTCTGTAGACTGTTAAAATTTCGCAGAATAGTAGTAGAGCTACAATATAGAAAAAAAGCATAAACATTCTCCTTTTCGAATACTTCGCAAGATTTGGCAAGGATGTACATATATAATAAAAACGAAAATGGTGACAAATGAAATGACAGAATCTCGATTTTGTGCACTACATTTATTTTTTAACAAAACGATAATATATTTCAATTTGGCACTGTTTCAGCCATTTTAATTCTGAGCATTAGCAACGCCGTACTGCGTGAATGGTTATGGAAATTAGCCGTTATCTCCACTTGTGTTTTTCGGTTTGTCAGCGACGTTCAAATCTAAATAGATTTCACAATTGCTGTTTATTTCAAATGAAATGTGCACACTATGTTTGTCGGGCTTATGATCTGAATTGCATGTTTTGTGTACATATTACGAAGTTGTTCAATTCCGGTCAGTATTGCACACTTCAGATGTCATTGTCCGAGAATGCAAAGCTTTAAAAATAAGCCCAGACGTTCTTTTGTTCATAAAAAACGTCGTCGAAATAGTTTGAAAATCAGTCAGGACAAACTGGCAAAAACTGAAAGTTATAATAATTAGATTACAATCTCTCTGACCAACTAGAAACCACGAACGGAGATAAGGTTAAGTTAGTCAGTATCACGAATAATGCCAAAATCCACCACAGACCGACGTTTGCTGAATATGTTCAATCATCACGTAAAGAAATAAAATATTTACAATTTGTGGGAAACCGATGAAAAATCGTTCTTGAAGTCACAACGTTGCGTGAAAACTGCCATGGCGTCGTGTTATCAATTCCACTGAGGGAGGGGCACAATAGATTACGTAAAACCTATTCATAGTTATATAATATAACGACATTGGTTGGTTTGCGTTTATAAGGCCGAGTCTAAAGTTACCGTTCCTCAAACCACCGTATGACGCAGTATTTGTGATCACCGGTGAAATGAGCCGTGTAAGTTCAACAGTTTCATTTAGACGGCCAGGCGTCGCCCCTCCAAAATCAACCTGAAACCTTTTGTGTCAGTAAAGTTTTCCTCTCAAAATGCAGGAAATAGCGTTTCAGAGTGTCTAGATTTCAAAGTTTGTAAGACCGAGCATGACCCGGTCCCCATAATAAAGTCGCGCTTTCAGCGCAAGGTTGGTGTGCAGATCTCGCTCCATCTTGCAAAATATTAGCCGCCGCCTCTGCTGATAATATAAAAACTGTTGTAATTCTGGTTTCGATGTTCAGAATCATGATATACACTGCATGGATTTTATACTACCGGACATACCGGGTATGAAATTACTGTGTTTTTGCTTGTGCTAATCTTTCTCCTACATGATGTATAGTCCACTAATATAGTGTAATTCACTACATTAATATGCATAAATAATAAATCACTGTATCACATAACAGCGTGCCGTAATTTTACGGTATTGCACTGGGTATTTGCATCCTAGTATACTAACAGGAAACTCGCATTCCAAACCTGGAACGATTACCCGTTATTCCCAATACCTTTTTGAATAAGTTCATATCGAATAGTTTCGTAGAAACTTTCATCATTTTGCTCAGCTCTGGGCTTCCTATGAAAAACGGTTGGCTTGCAAAGATGCATCATAATAAGGTTATTACGAGCATACTGCATAGTACGTGGTCGCATTAACCTCAGCTACATGTCTGTCACTGCTCTGTATACTCTGCACTGTATTGTATACTTTTGCGGCATCCTCGCAATAATTTCATAATATGTCATGCTCACTTAGAATGGTCAAAACAGCAGAGTTATGATTGGTTTAAAATATTTTTATATTTCACAAAACCACTCATTTGACAGTGAAAACAACGTAGACAAAATCAATTGGAATTTCTGATTTAAATAAGCCCTCTCAAGAAGCGTGCTGTGTGAGTGAAGGCTGGATAGGTACTATCAAATTAGGGAAATAATCATCAAAACAATAAACCCATTACATGTCTAGGGAATGTTTAGGGCATATACAGAAGTTCCAAAAATTAGTATAAAGTATAAAACACTAAAACATTTGAGCTACCCCAAATCTGACGTCATGATCAATCGGTGGTTAAGGTATAGCGTGCATATTTTGTAAATACAAGAAACAGAAAAATTATTATTTTTTTCTGCTTTCTTACTAATTATATTATTATTTTTAAAAATATGTTGCTTAAAAATATACGACTTAATGAGGTAAAAGAATCTTGCATTTTATAATCAAATGCATTCTTGAGTCTCCATCACCTCTACAAATAAGACAATATACATATAGCCAGATATTCATTGTAAATTTAATTGAACTTTCAACAGTCGCTCATGTGCAAAGTTTTCTCTAAAAGGCGACAGACAGCTAGGCGATTTCTCCAATGTCCCACCCAACTGTCTTGGTGCGTATAAATGTTCAATATAGTTTTAATGAGACTGAGTCATTTTCAAAACGCTGTGGCTCGAAAATAAGTGCCCCAGAATTCCAAAAGTTAATCAATAGCTCTGCTTATAATTTGCCTGCATAATATTGCGGTGTATACTGGTCATCGGTTTCCAACATTCAGGTTTTCTTTCAGGTATTCTGTAAAGAAAACATATAGTTTTATCAATACAAACATTTACTCACTAGGAATAAACAAATATTTATAATTTAAGACAAAAAACAATACGTGACTAAATAAATTTCTTCAAACACCATGACTAATCACTAGGTAATTATCAGTTTATGTTGATTATAACAGTTTAAAATTCCAAGTTATTGTAACGATGTGTTATACGTTTTTGTTTATCGAAAAGTGTTTATATTGCTCGTGGACCACTCAAGTTAATTATTTGGATAAAAACAATGGGCAAATCAGTAGATTTCCACACACGTTATTGGTAGTAACACGCAGGCAACATTTTGGCTCTAAACTAGTAGTCTGTGGAATGACCTGACAGCCCCGCCACGCGACGCGTGTCCAGTTACATAGAGTGATAGGGCATATTACAGACAACAAATATTACTTATATATTTAAACATTATACAAAAAATAATACATGGTAAACTCGAGGGAAATAAATAGGGTTCTTAGTAAAAGTCCCGAAGAGACTGTGTTCTGTAAGTTAATGAAATTACATTCCGGTGTAAACTTAACAGCAACTCCTATATCAGGCTTTTTAAACCTGCTTTCATCAAACATTCTAGTTTTTGTTGTAAATTGTAAGTCGTTCATATCAAGATCACCAGTGTTA